TATCTCCAACTATGTTTGTAAGCAGATAATTTCAACACATAGTCACCAAAGGAACTAAGAATTACAAAAGATGCCACATTCTCTCACAATATTTGTCTAGAACTAAAGAGTAATTTCAATAAAAAAAAATCAAGAATCCACATACACACAAAGAGAAACGGAGAGGGTGTGTGATGGAGAAAAGCAATTATGGCTTAAAATGCTGATTTCAGTACCTGTTGAAGAAGGACACAAACACAAATATTATACAAAAAGTAAAAAACAGTACCTGTTGAAGAAGGACACTTTTGGTTGGGGCAATATTTTTCACTCTCAAACAGTCTGATTTGGTAGTGGAAGAAGACCCTTTCCAGAAAGGGTTTTAAGCCGAGCCTCTTCAGCTAAGAGCTTATTGACAACTACATCCACTGAGGGGAGTGGGTGATGATGAATAATATAACCATGAAGTCCCTCAAAGTCATCTCTAAAGGCCATCAAGAATTGCACCAACCTTTGTTCCTCTCTGAAGGTACGATATGTTAGATTAGTGCTCAATTCAGTGGGTTCAGTGAGTGCTAACTGATCCCAGAAGCCAGTCATAACAGAGTAAAATTCTTGTATAGTTTTGTACCCTTGACGCACATCTAGAATCTCATGCTCTAGGTGATACCTCTTTGTAAAATTAGACTGAACAAAAAGTGTGACCAAATAATCCCAAATTTCCTTAGCAGTGGTAAACTTGGATAGATGAACCCCAATGGTCTGATCAACTGAGTTATTAATCCAGGTGATAATTTTTGCATTGTTGATATCTCAAGTACTCTTCAAATCAACATAATTTTCAGCCTTAGTATCAATTGGAGCCTGTGCAACACCACTAATATAATTCCACATATCTTTTTCCATTAATTTTTTTTTTCATAACATATGCCCAATAAACATAATTTTCACCTATTAATCTCACACTAATGGCTTGAAGTGAATCAAATTTTCTACTTGCCATTGTATCAAAATCAAAGCAGTCACAAAACCCACACAATAACACCAAAAGAACAATCCACAGTCAAAACCCAGCAGCCACCAAGCAATTACTCCAAATATCAAGCCATAACCAGACTGCCAAAGCCGCAACCAGACTGCCGAAGTACACTACATCGGTGTCGACAATAACAAAGTAGAAACACTGCCCAAAAACAAAGCACAACCTGACTACCCAATACCAATCACCAACAAAGCAGAAAACACTGTTGTTGAAGCCACAATAGACTGTCTAGTACATTGACGTCGAGACCAGGTATACCGAAACCTTTGGATAGCCAAAATCAAACCAAAAAATTACTCAAAAGCTTCGAGTCTCTCAAGAGGTGACCCAGGAAGCTTAGTCGGACCTCTTAGAGAAGATTTGAACCAAAAATTGTAGCAAAAAACCTTTGCTTTAACAAATCAAAGAAATTCGAAACTTTGGGCCGAAAATATTCCAAAAATAAAAGCACCTACGAGATGTGCTCAAAATCAAAAACAAACCATACCAGCAGAAAGCCCATGCAATTTCGAGTTTGACAGTGGTCTTCATGATCAGAAAAAGATGTCGTCACCATGACATCATCATCGACGATGATGACGTCATTCTCCGGCAGCCCATAAAACAGAGAAGAAGAAATTCTTTCATCTTTTTCATAGTCTTAGGTTTTGAAATATAATTGCTCTGATACCATGATAGATTTAATCAATGACAATACATAATGAAGAAGATAAAGAATGACTATATTATTAGACTAAAAAGCATGTAATAAACATCTTAAACCTAGAAATATACAAAGTAACATTTATATAGTAGGGCAACACAACATAAAGAAAATGCTTAAACTACCCTTATTATTAATATTCTAACAATTCCCACCCCCAAATCTCAATTCCCACCATATTTAATTTCTCATTATCAAACTACTAAATGCACCATTTCTATATCCACCCTATGCTATATACACCTCTTTTAAAAAGAAAAGAACGAAAGAAGGAAAAAAAATCAAGTAAAGATTAAAAGAACAAGTAAAACCACAAGACACAAAATCAAACATGAAAAAAAAATATCAACCACAAATACAAATTCGAACAAGAAAAAAAATAAGAAATATAGATGCAAAACCTAAACAAGATAAAAAAAATAAAAAATAATCTAAAAATATACATATATATACACACCTATAAAAATTATTAAACTTGACAGAGATATCAAAACATACGTAAAATAATAAAAACTCATACAACAAATAGAAAATCAAACATAAAATTAAATTAAGAAGTAATACTAACTTGTATCTCACAAAAAAATTTATATTTTAAAAATATTATTGTGAATGAAACCCTAATTATAAAAAAATATAAGTTGAGTTTACTTATTAATCGGGGAGTATGTAGCACGAGTTGAACTTAGTTAGTAATGAGGTGGGTACAGAAGGGGTAGACTTAATACTTTGATAATGAAAAATTAAATGAGACAGAAATGGAGATTTGTGAGGGGGGGGGGGGGAGAATAACCCCACCCATACTTAAATTCGTTTGAATTTTATGAATATTTAAGTTGAACTCATATGAAAACTGATTTTAATTTCTCAACAAATTTTTTTACATTTATGAGTATTCACATGAAACTTTTGGATGTTTTCCTCATAAAAGTTGTATGAGCTCACATTGGAAAAATGGTGTAGACATAATGTTATGAATTTTAGGTAAAAACCTGTAGAAAAACAAATAGTTATATTTTTTTTGAAATTTGAGATAAAATTTATTAAAAAATGTTAAAATTGTGAATTTTTAATCAATAATAATTATATTTTCTCATAGTTTTGAATTAATATGTTGCAATAGTTGTAGTGTGACTTTCGTTATATAAATGTTTGATTATATATGTTCTATATACAGGTTGAACAATATTAATTTGATCATTGTATTGTAAAAATTATATTATACATTGCCTTTATTTATGAAAAAATATTTACAATTTTTTACGAGTAACGTAGTGCCTTCATATACAGGTAATTACTAGTATAAAAAAAATAACTAAATTATTTGTATTGAACTTTTTGTGGTTCAGATCATTTTAATCTGATTTTCATAATTGAATTTTCAATCATTTTACAACTCTAAGACCGTCATCTCTCATGTAATTCTATCTATCTATCTTATAATCTCTCTCCCTCATACTATTATCTTTTTTTTTTCTCTTGTGTTATTTTTGTTATTATTTATTCCATAAAACATATGAAATTACATGTTATGCAATTATTTCTTCCATGAAAACTAATTCAAAGATTTTATATATCTGACGACATGTATTTTGTTGTTTGCTTCTTAATTTGTTAATAACACTTAACATAAATAAAAAGTAGCACATGGACTATAAACATCAAATAATATTCAACACAAAATGAACATTAGACTGTAATATAAATTAATATATAATTTTATCAAAAAATTACATTTAATTTTGTCCAATTTATATTCAACTTTGTCGAATTAATATCAAATTAATTTTTATTGTTATCAAATTAATATTGAAACTCATTTAATCAATTTTTTGGAGTACTAAATTAGCAATTTTTTGGGTAATAAATCTAATTTTATTTGATTTTATTAAATTTTTAATTTTTTTGGTACTAAATTTAAAGAAAGGAATTATAAAAATAAAAAAAAATTGGGATGAAATTCTCAATTTCCGTTAGCAACATTGATGGAAAGGAGACAGAGGGGGTCTCTGTGCAATGAAATTCAAGCCTCAAGAGATCTTTGTATTATTTATAAAATGTCAGAAAGTGTTCGTGTAATATTGCCAAAACTCAGGAATGTTTGTGATTTTTACCCTATTTTTTAATTAAACATTAATTTATTATTATTTTATCTTAAAAAATTGAATTATTGTATTTCTAATAAAAACAATTAATTGATTAGAAGAGTTTGTTGGTAACAAAAAAAAATGTGTGTGAGTTTGTTTTTGTTTATATTTATATGTAGAGGATTGGACGTTTGGTGATTAAATTTATAATTATATTGTGTCAATTCGGGTTGAATGGTTGTAGTGGGGATAATTTTATGAGATTTATAAATGAACAATATTTTGTTGATTTTATTTGTCCCTTAAATATTATGAATTTAATTAAATTTTGTTAGTATTTTTTTTTACTTGAGATATTTATTCCATTGAGATATGGTTGATTCTAAATATAACAGTTGAGTTTATAATTATTTTGTGTAATTGGATTGAGTGATGGTAGATGTAATAAATTCGTGAGTGTTATAAATGAGCAAAATTCTATTTATTTTATTTATTGTTTAAATATTATAAATTTTAATGGGTTATGTTAGTATTTTTTTTCAGAAGCATTTATATATATGATGTTGTTTTGGGGAGTTTTTATATATTTTTATGATAGTTCCATTAATATGAAGGATATGGTTGACGATATATATTGAGTCATTTTAGAAGATAAATTGGTTTGAATATTTTTAAGCGGTTCCTTTTGAATTTGTGCAAGTGTTGAAGATTTTTTTATTTGTTTTACAGTGCCTTCAGGCACGGGCAATGATTTATATATACATATATAATAAAATAGAGCTAAATTTGAATTTTAGAGACAAAGAAAGGTTCAGATCATTTTGAAACAAAACATAAACACATCAAACGAACAACGAAATTCCAACATAAAAGACGGTTCAGATCATCTCAAAAATTTTAATCTAAAGGTCTACAGTGAGTACTAAATTTTGTTTTTCCGCCTAACAACATTTCTTTTTTTAATTATCAGATCATTTCAAAATTATCCCAAACATTTTAATTTTGAATTCCCCCCTCAATCATGTTATTTTCTCACGAATCTAAACTTTTATCTCTGTTTTACTCTCTATCCCATCATTGATGCCCCCAAAAATCTCTTTCACCACATTCCTTCTCTCTCTGGCCTTGTAATCACGCCCAAACTCTTTTTCCGTCCCCCAATCTTATAACCTCCTCTCTTTTTCTATCCCTATTTCTCTTCTCTATCTAGCAACACCCCTCTTTCTCCATAATTCTTTATCCCCCAATCTCCTATCTCTGTTAGTGACATTCTCATCCCTCCGCTAGCGCCGCCAACCGTGCCAGTCACTAACCATCGAACACTGCCAGCGACACCATCGAGCACTATTGCCAATAACGTCATCGAGCACTGCCACCTGGTGACAACACCATCCTTCTTGGGTAACTCTTTATCTCTTCTTCTCCCTGCCTCTCTTACTTTTCCTCTGTGTCTAGCGAACCACCATCAACGACTATACACCACCCCCACAGCCCTTACCCATCTTTCTCTCACAACCCTAACCTGAGTACTCGGGAAATAAATAAACTTATGATTGATTGCTTTTGAATTTCAATGATTATTTGATTTCTGCCCTTTCTTACAATTGTGATTGAATCGCTTTGGTTTTATGATTGATTTGTTGCAGGAAAGGTACAGTGTTAAAAGGATTAAGTATGGAATTAGAAAGACTAACATGGATGTTAGTAATTCTANCATAATAAAATAGAGCTAAATTTGAATTTTAGAGACAAAGAAAGGTTCAGATCATTTTGAAACAAAACATAAACACATCAAACGAACAACGAAATTCCAACATAAAAGACGGTTCAGATCATCTCAAAAATTTTAATCTAAAGGTCTACAGTGAGTACTAAATTTTGTTTTTCCGCCTAACAACATTTCTTTTTTTAATTATCAGATCATTTCAAAATTATCCCAAACATTTTAATTTTGAATTCCCCACTCAATCATGTTATTTTCTCACGAATCTAAACTTTTATCTCTGTTTTACTCTCTATCCCATCATTGATGCCCCCAAAAATCTCTTTCACCACATTCCTTCTCTCTCTGGCCTTGTCATCACGCCCAAACTCTTTTTCCGTCCCCCAATCTTATAACCTCCTCTCTTTTTCTATCCCTATTTCTCTTCTCTATCTAGCAACACCCCTCTTTCTCCATAATTCTTTATCCCCCAATCTCCTATCTCTGTTAGTGACATTCTCATCCCTCCGCTAGCGCCGCCAACCGTGCCAGTCACTAACCATCGAACACTGCCAGCGACACCATCGAGCACTATTGCCAATAACGTCATCGAGCACTGCCACCTGGTGACAACACCATCCTTCTTGGGTAACTCTTTATCTCTTCTTCTCCCTGCCTCTCTTACTTTTCCTCTGTGTCTAGCGAACCACCATCAACGACTATACACCACCCCCACAGCCCTTACCCATCTTTCTCTCACAACCCTAACCTGAGTACTCGGGAAATAAATAAACTTATGATTGATTGCTTTTGAATTTCAATGATTATTTGATTTCTGCCCTTTCTTACAATTGTGATTGAATCGCTTTGGTTTTATGATTGATTTGTTGCAGGAAAGGTATAGTGTTAAAAGGATTAAGTATGGAATTAGAAAGACTAACATGGATGTTAGTAATTCTAACAATTTGAAATTCTTGAATAGAGCTCACACAAATTATCTACCATTGGAGCATGGAAGAATAACAAGAAAGTAACTATAGAGGCTGAGCTAAACACAAATTGAGGTAATAAATCTTATTTTATTTTCTAGCAAGGTTTAATGAAATAGAAAATACCTTAATATTGGATATGATTTAATTTTGACACTATCTATGCATGATGGGCTAGAGAAATTGGAAAAAAATGCAGAATTTGTGGAGAGGATGAAAAACAAATGGTGCTATCACCCACATGAAAGGTATTTCTTCATTATTTGCAACATTATTTCCATTCAATTAAATAAGTTTCTTGGGTCTGTCTATGTAATATAAAAATTAAGTGATTATTTCTTTTTTTCCGTACGTCAAAATTTTCAAAGCCGGGTGATTATTGGCTTCATTGGCTATGTTTTAGGAGAGAGAAAAGGAATCATCTTTTACAAGATATAGATGAAGAGAGGTTTTGTTTCACAAAGGAAAAAACTAACTAGAGAGTATTTAAAAGAATCATACTTTTGTTCATTGAAAAAGCCATAGGTACATATCTACCATTGTTCATTGATTAGCCATAGATACATATCTCCACCTTTGTAAAATGTATCAATGTAACAGTTTTATGCTACTTTTTCAGTTTGTTGCTTCGAGTCCAGTTTAAATTAGTTGTGATTGTTCTATTTTTAATAGCCAATAAGTTCTTATTTGTGCATTCTAGAAATGTTGTAATTGTCGTCTTGGTCTGTAATGAATGGACTATCTTGCTTACCTTTCACATTTTTGGATTTTCATGAGTAATAAATAGATGAATTTATGGAAGATCTAACTATTGGTTTACCATTTTATTTTTTCCTTATTTTTTAATTTTCCTTTCTTTTTGTTGTCGAGGTCTTGGGCAGTAGTTGATTGTTGAATGACAAAATGAGTGTTTTTATGTTATAGCTTGTGTTTTATTACAGTTATGGAAACTGAGTCACTCCCACATCTCCCACCCATTTTCACGGGGTAAAAAAGAATTTATCAATTGAAGAGAGTATCTTTGAAGGCACAAAAACAGAAGTATTAGCTTTCTCCCTACTGCTCTATTTATTGTCTTTAAATTTTTATTTATGATTTTCTATGTGTCATCATTTAATTTTATGATAGTAGAATCATAAAAGTTTGTCTAAATTTTTGAACAAATTTTCATAAGTGGAGGTTGTGGTGGTAGGTTGGTGGTAATTGTTGTTTATAACAATTTTTTAAAAAAAAAAAAATTTGAGTTGTTCTCTTAGAATCTATAATTGGTGATTAATTTTACATTATTTTACTTTTCATATAAGGCTTATAAGTTTTGCTATTGGTTGTGATTATGCTTTTTTAGTCATGATTTTTGTTGGGGAGGGTTATAAGTGATGAGTTACGGTCAGAACTCGTTAATATTGAAAGGGATGTTTAAGAAATAGAAGAGTATGGTGGTGGAGGCAGCTTAGACCTTTACATAGAGATATTATTTAGACTAGACATTTTTTTGAGTTATATAGTGTTACAGGCACAACCAAATGATTGCAATTTTTTTTGTTGCATAGTATTTTCAGGCACGGACAATTGCTAGTGTATATATATATAGGAGTTGTTAGTTTTCAAATTTGTTTTAATTAAATATAACTACTAAGGGTATTTTAGATAATGGAGATCAAAGTTGACTTAATATTAAACAAGTTTTTTTGATGGATTTATTACCAAATAAGTTCACAAAAGGAGACCGACTACCAAATTTCTTAAAAAAAGTACTACAAACAATATAAGTGGAATTTTAATAAATAAGTCTAAATTGAGCTGACTCACCATAATCCTCTAAGTTAATAGCAACTGCCAATTAAACTAGGAGAATGTATGCACTTTGCTAATTTACCAAAAAAAAAAAAAAAAATGTGCGATAATTAAACTCGTATGTGATATATACGAATCGTTAAAATGAATAAAAAATTTGACGTTGCATTTTAGTCCAACAACTCCAAGGAGTTAAGTGTCATTTTAGAACCTCAGGAAGATGATGTGCAAACGGTCAAACCACAAGGGGTAAAATGAAGTTTTTCCTATAAAAAAATCAACCATTGCAAAAAGAATATTGGATACATTACCACCAATTTGAAATGATGCAAAAGAAAAAATTTTGTGTCAAAAAATACCACTATGTGCGCGGCAAGTTGTGGGTTTTTTAGAAGAAGTAGAGCGTAAGATACATCCATTATAAAAAAAAATTGAGCAAGAGATAATGGATCCACAAACGATTGTTCGAGATCATATGCATAAAAAGGAGTGTTTATTTAACAAACTCAGGGGAAAGGGTTTTAGTACCAATATAGTTATTTTGGTGAATGTTTAAGACACTTCTAGCTACATGGCCAACAAAAAACATTCATCAACAAATAAAGAGAGATTTTATGGACATGAGGGCATTAGCAGAAATGTTAGAAGATATAAAAACTGACATAATTTGTTCTTAGGCATTAGATAAAGTCGAGGCTCAACTAAAACAGAATGGAGATTCAATCATTTGAATAACACTTTTTGGGTACATATCTCCTTTTTTTTTTTTTTTAAAAAAAAAAAACATTACGCATTTTTGTGGATGTTGTAGCAGAAATAATCCAAAATTTCTGCAGGTTCTTTTTTAATATGCAGGCGCTTATTTTGAGGATAAGGGCAACATAGAAAATTTTAGTGGCTTGTCGTAATAGCTATATTTTTATGGATGTCATATATTTGGTCAATTTGTTTTGAACACATTTATTTTTAGAGACGTTTTCTTTGTCATTAGTAATTAAATTTTAACGTTGGATGAATGAATAAATAAATAGGAAATTTTTAACTTTACTAATAGTTGATTATGTTTCACTTTCATTAATGTTGAGTTGATGAACACTTGGTCGTGCATTGCATGCAATCTAATTAGTATATATATAAGAAAGTGTTTGTGACAGTTTTTTTATGGAGCGGACACATTATTTGACATTGCCATTTGATATTCGCCATGTAAAATACTATTTGAACATAATTTGAGGATCTAATTTAAGAACCTAATGACGTATAATCATTTGATTAGTTGTGGACTCCATCTAACATTGAAACTCATAACTAATTCAATGGTTGAATTGAAGCCACATCATTAGACCCTCAGATTAAGTCCCCAAATAAGATTCCGTAGAATTTGCTCATTTCCCATATACTGTGTATAACTGACCAAAAATTGTCTCTCAACCAATAGTGTGCAAATCCAAAATAGAAAAAGAAAATTTGTCCTCTTTCATGTAACTGCTAAAAACATGACATGTAACCAATTTGGAGATGGTATAAAAATGTTCAATAAGTTCATCTGACGGTCTCAAATAAACTCATTCAATAACCACTAACATTAATTTCAAAACTATTCACATTGTACCGTATCTTTAGAAATGAGTTACCCCTAGTGATCCCTTAAATTAGTTCATCACTAAATAGAATTAAATTTATTGGATATATGAGTTAGTTTTATAGTTATAAATAAAATGTCCTTCTTATTCAGATATTCTTGACCGTTGAAAAAAAAAAAGTAAAAATTGGGGTTGACTCCTCTTAAATTTACTTATAATTACTTGAGTCCGGCAAAGAAACTTATTTTTGGAATAAGTCCGTTTTTAATCTTATAAATAAATACTCAAGTCAACTTTTTTTTTTTAATCTAAGAAATACTCTTAATGATGTTAGTTTTGTTCAGTTATGAAAAACCACAAACGTTAGTTCATTTATTATATATATGAAAATTGTTGATTGAATATTCTGATGCTTGATTAACGACGAAATTGTT